CAATAGAAAAAACTAAAAAAAAAAAAAATAAACAATTGTACACTGCTTTCGTAAAGAAATTTATTGAAGCTTTGTATAATTAAAAAAAAAAAAAACTGAACTTTTGTGTTTTTATTTGATTTATTTACATACATATATGTATGTGGTTATAACCCACGCTCTCCTTAATGTTTTCCCCACACAACAGGTTATAGCGGAACGTTTCACACAGAAAGACGACGCATGGCTTCCACGTGTGTTTTGCCCACACATTCTCGCTTGTTCCAGACTCTTGTGGAACAGTATTTCTTATTTTCAATATGTCCATGTACATACATACATATTAACTGCATGTGTATGTTTGTATGTGTGTGAATATGTTGTATACTGCACTGCAGAAGATCCGATCCACATGTAGAAAAAGGAGCGTAGTCGAACAACGCGAATAGAGAGAGAGAGAGAGAGACGACGACAGCGACAGCGACAGAACTTTGTCATTTGGGTTGTATGAAAATTAAAATACCCTTGCAGAGATAATCACGCCTTGCGTTTTTAGTACTTATTGTGGATATATGTACAATCATTTCAATATTAGAGATCTTTAGCGAGCACAAACTTTTAAAAATAAATTAAAAACAATGTTTTCTAGTAGACCACCTTAAACAGCATGATACACAATTTTGTTATCTATAATTATAAATGTGTAAATTTAAATGCGTCATTTCATGCGTACTTAAAACTACTAATCATCCGCACACACAGATCAACAATCCTTAAGCCATACCCGCAATCCTAAAATCAACAACCAAACCCCCCCCAAAACCACGATACAAAGAGATTAGAAAAATTTTCAATTGCCCTCTAGACGACAACGTTGCGGATGTGATGTGACACGATGGAGGTTATGCAAACATCATTGAATTTTGACTCAAAGGTAGGTGGGTAATACCCCTTAAAACTCAGTGTCAAATGGAAACAGAAATACAAGAAAGATACACAAAACTGGTATACTACGCTCCACTTATTAGCATACATTCAGACATATTTACATATGTGCATATGTATGTACCTTTATATGTTGAGCATGACTCATTTCACACGGTTTCTTCAAACTAGTATTATCTGACTTGCTTATAAAACTATACTTATGTATATGCACACATATATATGCATGTATATATATACATATATTTTTGAATTCGCGTAGGTGCTAGTTAACAGTATTAGTAGTGGTTACTCGACGTCTCTTAACAAAGGCATCAAAAGAAGAAGAAAAAAAAACAAACAAATAAGCTGTAAACGTGCCTAGCAGCAGCTTCGCCTCGACGTCACTCTTTAAAAATTAAGCTCAGTTTACTGTAAAAAAGAAGAAGAATCGATCGCTTCAAAGTTGCTTATTAAACGCTGTCGCAAAATAAAAACTGGATTTACAGCAATAAATATATGTACATACATACATGCATACGCACGTGTATGGGCAGGCAGCATGTCGGCATACACACACATACATACATGTGTATATACATACATATGTATGTGTTTCCCATTAACTTAAACATGCGAAATCACTCCATATAAAAAAAAAATTGCTGAGTAAAACAATTTCATGCCCTGTGGAAATACATACATACATATATACATATTTATATGTGTATGTATGAGAAAACACGATTTCTATATTTAAAAATGTACATACATTTTAAATTTACATTTGTACATACAAACAACATATGAATGTTGAAATACATACATACATATACGCGTAGCTAGCCAGGATTTTTTTCTGCTAAATACATACATACATATGAATGTAACTAAAAAAATTATTCGCTCTAGAAAGCTGTTAGGAGAGCTTTCACTGTGTTCGCATCTCTGAATATATGTACATACATACATACGTACGTATGTGCATGCATACTACACTATTTTTTATGCATACGTACATATGTATGTACATATGTACATATGTCTACATATGCGAGCACGCACATGCGTTTCATTATGCATAAGTAAACACACATGCATACATATAGTACACATAAACATTCATCCATACATACATACATAGGCCAAGCTCATCATATGTATGTATGTATACCATTTTAAAGAAAACGCGTAAACAACATTTATGTTTTGTTATTTTTTCTGTTATGGCTTCTACTTGCGATAATTGCAATCAGACAACAACCGTGCAGCAAATTCAGTTGAACGAATAGCCGCGACACACTCATATACACATATACGGGCATGAATGTGTACACACAAACGTATGAGTGTATATGTATTGAGACATAGCGCGATGTTGACGTTGACTCGCTTACGTCTTACGTCTACCGAACGCGCTTTCTTCCAACTACCGCGTGCTCCACCTCCCGCCCCATTGGCCGTAGCTGTAGCCACGATAGCGAATAAGAATTCATGTATGTATGAAAGACTAGAAAAAAACAAGTAAGAAAGCTCTAGTCGAGACTGCTCGACTACGCATGGGCTGCAGTGTGCGCTTACTATGAGAAGTTAATTGTTGAATAACTTTTCTTGTGGACATACGATCTTCATGAAACTTTTAGATTATGATAACCACATGGTATGCATGTATATGCCAAAGCACAAGTCTCTAGTATTTGAAATACGCTTTTTACAAACATGGTGGTGAGGGGGTGGATATAGGGAAGGGGGGTAAATTTTAACAAAAACCGAAATTATATAAATTGCATATAAGCATACATAAAAAATTTGGAGACTCCAGCAATAAAGGTGTACGAGATATAATTTTATAACTGGTTTTCGATAAGTTTTTTATCGATAAAAAAAGAACGGGATGAGTGATCGATTTTTAGGGATAAACTTGATATCCGCGCTGTAAATACGAACATTTAAAAAAAAATTGAAGTCTCTAGCTCTTATATCTTCTGAAATCGACGCGTTCATACATACGGACGGACGGACGGACAGACAGACGGACAGGGCCAAATCGACTTAGCTCGTCGCCCTGATCAAGAATATATATACTTTGTGGGGTCTACCACGTCTCCTTCTGCCTGTTACATACATTTCAACAAAACCATTATACCCTGATTTCCCATTGAAAATGGGTTCAGGGTATAACAACACGACGGGCGCGGTGGTCTTTTGTTTTGTCTACGCAGTTTGTATCTGTGAGATAAATAGAGGCCGACGTACATATGTATATATGTATGTATATAAAAACCATTATATATCTATATACATATGTATGTATGAACAACAAACGTAATTTTGTAAGTGCGTCTGTATGTAACCGCCCATATGCCCTCTTACGCGTACGCACACACAATATGCACGAATACAGTCGGACGTCGCTCGTGCTTACAAGCTTTGTGCGTTGGGCTCTGAAGCTCCGGCAACACATACAAACTTATGATGACATGTATGAGCGTACATGTGTGTATACATAGAAACGACATATGCACATAAATACATACATATGTATATGCTACGTAAGCGTTAAAAAATACAAAAATAATTTTTGGAACACAAATACTTACATGTGTGTGTGTATATGTATTATTTTGTTTATGCGTGATAGGTACATACAGACATACATGTGTATGTATATACGATTGCTTGCGCGAGCGTTTGCCAACGGCTTTTTAAAGCTATGGAATTATTTTATTTTACTGCGCAATTTCTACTATTGATTTGCCCGCTATTTTTTTTGCTTGTATTTTGTTTTCGTTTTTTCTATTTTTTTGTTGTTGTTTACTTAAAGTTGCTGCCGCAGCGCCGTTGGCATTGCAGCCAACGTTTCTGATGCAAATGCGTGCACATTCATATCTATGTACATACATATGTACGTATGTAGGTATGTATGTATCTATATTTTTACAGTTGCATAAAGCAGTGTATGAATAAATGTTTGTTTACATACAAAAAATAGCTTATAAATTGTTTACATTGTACATATGTATGAATATTGTTTATGTATGTATAAATGTTGTATAGAATGCTTGTTGCTGCTTACTTGCATAAACAGCACAGCTTTAATGCAAGCAACATGGAAACAAACATATCCATATGTATGTACGTACGTACGTATGTATGTATGTATATTTAGCCAAATAATTGCATATGTATGTACATATGTACATATGTATGCGTAGTGGGCCTTATTTCGATTTCAGCTTCCCAAGGTATACATAAATATTAAAACAACGACTTCAGATGGCCTACGTGACTTGCGGCAACACAAAACAAAGCCATCATAATCGTATTTAAAACATTCAAATAATCACAATATATGCATGTAAAGTTTTTGTTTATACATAACATATGTATGTACATGTGTATGTGAACTCTTTCATACATATGTATGTATGTATGTATGTATGTATGTATGAAGTTTTGATTCGATGGATAATTTTGTCCAAGTCATGTGGCTCATTCTATTTATTGCATTTCATATTTACGAGTGACAATAAATATATGTATGTACATATGCACATATTCGCACACACATATTCAAATACTGTTAGAAACAGCTTTTACGGTATTTAATCACGTTTTGAGTGGTTTCTGTATACAAAATAAACTCTTTAAGCGCACACATATACATAATATTCACATGCACATACATATATACATATTTACAAACATACGTAAACAAGCACACTTCGGGATATTTGAATAATGTCGGTCAACTGACATTTTCTGTAATTATTTATAATGTTCATGATAGACTCAAAATGATATGAATGTGCACCTTTTTAATGAAAAATATATAAAGGGAAAGTATACAAAAAAATAAAAATAAAATAAATACAAAATTATAATAATAATGATAATACTTTGACTCATTTAAGTTGAATGCATTAGTTTTTATTTGTTTCTGGTCTGTTCCGTCAGTATTAGAATGTAAGGTAATCCGATTCAAACATCAATTTCATGAAATTAAATCCACGTGACTTGTGGATCGCCTTTGACAGAGTGGCAGAGGCCAACGGGAATTGAACCCTGTGCGCTGCCTGCTGCCTGCCATTCATTGAGTAGTAAAATTATTATCAGTTCAATTGAACTCGGTGTGTGGAGGATGATAAGCCGGCGGGCTCAGTAATAAATGGTGTGATCAGTCGCTCATCGCAGCTGAGAGTCCAGTTGAGTTGTTTCCAGCTACGTTGCAAGATGTTCCCCACTTGGCTAATACTGTGCATCGGCGTTCTAGGACTGTGTCAGGCAAGAGGAATCAACTAATTCACCTCTCACATATTGTCAACATTCTATTTTGAATCCTAGGCAAATGTTATATTTCACTTTGCGCTGGATTTCCATGTGAAACAGCCGGAAAATTCAACGGAGCCCATAGACAAAACCATCCTGGTAGATCATAATCGGGTCTTCGTACAGGACAGTAAAGTAAATTCATCCTGGCTTGAGCAAGATCGGTATACTGAGGAGGCGTGGCACCTATTGATGGACACCAAGCGCGTGGTGCAACAACTGAATGTGGAGCTCTCTCCCCTGGTGGGCCGAAGCAACGATCTGGCAGCTCGCCTCAAGCAAACCATGCGCTATGCAAACGATGTGGACGCGTGCCTAGAGAATGGCCATTTCGGCCAGCAGGTGGAGCAGTTGCGCAAGTACGTCGCCCTGGTCGATGCCCTCAAATTGCCAAGCAGCACGGCCGGATCGCGCACTCTAGAATTTGTGGTGCTCAAGCTGACCCTGGAGAAGTATCAACTGCCAGCCAAGCAGCTGCAGGTCGCCGACTATCTGCAGCGGGCGGATGCTGCGTGGACGACATATAAAAATACACAGACCGTTCTAGCAGAAAGCTGAACCTAGAATTCCTATATATAGCTTAAATTCACTATATTCGTAGATTTCTCTTTAGTTTCTTTGCTCTATATTTCTGTATCGCAGGAATTGAAGAGATGTCAATCTAAAATGTATATACATACATACAAAGCATGTATGTACATATATTTAAGTACGTTAAAATAAGTAACTGATGTTAACATTTGACTAGTTTACTTAAGTTATTTATAAGAATACAAATGATCAAATACAATTAATACATCAAACTGCTTGTTTCAACATGAAATATTGGTATTTTATATGCCACGAAATGCAAGTAACTTTTAAGACTACGTGTCAGGTCGTTATAGATTGGTTAAAAGCTTATTTCAATCAAACCTGAAGACACTTTAGGCATCAAAAATATCCAAACTAAAAGAGATATCGAACAAAATGAAAATGTTAACTGAAAGTAAATTAGAAAATATTACCATACTTATTTAAAAACATACTTTTTAATATATTTTTTAAATAATTTGTTATATTTGTATTTACTTATAATAATTAATTATACTACTTAAATACCATCCCACCAACTTTCTCATGCGAGTAGGAATAACGTTCTTTACAGTGCCTGAAAACAAGTTTCACTGCGAAAACAATACATAAAGCACAAAAAGGTTTCTACCGGTCCATTTACTAAGACGCAATATATAAAAGCCGTTAGTGCTAGTCAGTTGCATTTAATTTTTTATTCTGATATATCTTTTAATTTAGATAAAACGTACGTAATGTGCATACATCTATCTTGATAAGCCTATTTGAAGGTAGTTGTCTAGCAAAGAAGGGATCATGAAAACATTGGTGATATTAGTTTAGCAGTATTAATGCAAATACTGTAGGGCAAAGGTTTTTAGAAAATAAATTCAGCTTAACAGTTTAATACATGACTATGTATTCACATATAAATTCTATGTATGCATATATTCTAAGGAAAGGGCCCGAACAAAAGCCGACTTCTATTAAGTGAAACAATAAGTAAAGGTGGCATTCAGAAAAAAGGACTTCCTGTCGCTGCGTTTCGGTGTTCCACTTCAATGCTCGGCATCGCTACAGGTACAAGCCATAGCGAGAGCGACCGAGAGAGACGTTCATCCGACCTAAATCTCCCCTGGGCTGGTCCCATGGAAAATACGTTACGCACGCTGGGAATACGCTATAAGTGGAGGACCTCAGGTAGTCGCAGACAAACACAGCCACACACAAAGTGCGCCGACTGCCGCTGCCAGCTGCCAGAGCCGTTGCCAATGCGCATGAAGAGAACAGACGGCGCAATAGGGTCGCTCCTCTCTCTATTCCTCAGTTCTGATATTCCTGAAACCCAAAACCACCACCACAAACGTACAAGCTGAATATCAGAGTTGCCCATTAAAAACTGCCAAATTTAGCAGTTAATTGCAGAGTGAAGAAAAGGATCGAAGCAGTGCTTAAACAGCTGAAAAAGGTTAGAAATCGTGCAGTTTGCGCAATTAAATAGCTATATTTGGCGGGAATATGAAGGATTCTGGTCAACACTGCTTCTTGTATATATGTATACATATGTACTTTTGTGTTGTGCGGGTAGGTACTTAAATGTGTATAGTGAAATTCTTATCTCAAATATGTGATACTCAATCACTTACAGTACTTCGTGTACTTGTCTGCTCTCAGTTTCCCTTAACGCTTCATTATGCTGTCAATAAGAACTACCATGAACAAAATTTAAATTTTTTCGTTGTATACGCAGATGTATACATACATACGTGCATATATATACATACAAGTCCTGCTGAGCATTGGCGAAATAATAAATCGGTACATTTGTAAGTGTATATAAATAACACGATTGGCCAATGCTGTAGCAAAATACAGGTTTCAGTAAAAACTGATCGAACCACTTTAAGCTATATATGCGAGGGCTGTTTTATGTTATGTTGAGAAATTAAAGTTAAGTAAAAACCTAGCAATATATATACAAAAAATTTATGATGAATGAATGAATATCAAAGGATATCATGAAAATTGAATGTACATTAATTTGAATCCAGGTCGAGGGTGGAACAGAACAATTCCTGTTTGAAAATAATGTTAGCACTAACAGCAAAAATCGATAACGATTGTCCTTTGCAGCACGAGCTCAAGTTACACAGTGCCACAGAAATTATATCGACTATATCAGTATTTCTTAAAATGTATTAGTAGCTTATTGATCAAATCGATCGTATTACCATAATTATATGCTACTGTGATCATACAGCGATATCGATAGTTACGATTGCTGAAAGCTTTTAATTGTTGCACAGAATACAAACAATTTTTTACTTTTGTGATTAACGTTTTTCAAAGTATCTTATTAAGGCATACGAATGCCAGCGACATTGGATTTTAATAAATATTGTGAAATTATGTTTTAGGAATATTTCAATATGCTTATTGCTAATATAATCAATCTTAAAGCTGTTGTGTCTATTAAAAAAAAAAAACAATGTTTATTAATTTGGTTTAAAATTCCGTAGTATTTTCAGCACCTCGATTTGAAAATCTAGTTTCTGATCACTGGTCATGCGCTGCATGTGCGGCTTAATGCTATCGAAAAATGCCTGATCTGGATCCGGATCGGCACCGATAGCTGTTGCAGGAGGCGCAGCTGAACTATTGAGTTCCGCAGTGGAGGAGTTGCTCGTTTCGGTTCCCTTAGCGACAGTCAGGGTTGCGTCGGTGCCTGTTGTGTAATTTAAGTGATCCAGCACCGAGTTGACACTGTCCTCCGCCAATGTCGTCTCATTGTCTTGCTCTAGTGCAGGGTTTTCTGAAGCACGACGCCGTTTTACCGGCGTTCGTGATATGCGAAATTGTTTGCGTTTCTTTGGTTCATCTTTTTGTGAGTCTGTGCCGTCCTCTGCTTTCACATCGAGCAGGAAATTCAGCTCCTTCTCGTATATGTAGGAGGCGCGGCCGATCTCCTCGCCGCTTTGCCGCAGCCGATTTACGCGCAGATAACTGTCGCGCGTGTTCTTCCAGCGTTTGAGCAATGTTTTTGCTACATCAAATTCAAATTAGATTTAGGTTCTTTTCTGACCAATCATTGAATCATTTACCGATTTCCTGCTTCTCTGCGCTGCTCGACACCTCGAAATTCTTGCACAGCTGTTGGCCAATCTGTTGCCAGGCCAGATCGCGGAGCTCGCGGTTGTGGAAATTTTCATGCTCTCGATCCCAAATGATGTGATGTTTCTTCACAGCCTCAATAAAATCGTACATGGAGTATCTCAGATTGATTCCAGCGGTTTTCAGCACTTTGTGATTGCCCATCGCAATAAAAATTCTCTTGTTTATGCGGCGAATTTTTATTTGTGTGTGTGATTATGAACAAAACGCGCGCGTAAACAACGTGCTGGCTACAAAAACAGCTAAGAACTGATACTAGACGCGTGAGAAAAACGCTAGCAAAGCGCACGACAATCGCTAATGGTGCTGCCAGACTGTTAGAAAAAGATTTGATTTGTTGATTCCAGCTAATTAATTTTTTTGGGTCTTATTTCTTTATTTACGTTTAAAAGCTTAAGTATAAACAAAATATTTAGTTTTCCTATAAAATGCACTTTTTAATTGTGTTATGAAAAATAATGTTTCATTTTTTTATTAGACATAGGTCAGTATTACATAAATTGTTCAATAGGTGCAACAAAAGAGGTCTGCGTTTTATGACAACTAATACATGTGACAGATTGTTAGGCGAACTAGCGATGCAAGTGAATGTTTGAGAAACGCAGTTTGTGTATTGTGGTTGATGTTTCGTGTTGTGTTGATTTTAACTTCTTTTTTTATATTTAAAATTGTATTTTTCTGCTTTACATGGGCCTGCCCATACCACGGCCCATGCCCATGCCCCCACCGGCCATCGGTGGTTCACCGGCTTTGGGGCTTTTTATTGTCTCATCCACGGAGAGTATCATGCAAGCGGCCTCTGCGGCAGCGGTGAGCGCATTTATCTTAATAATCGATGGCTCCCACACGCACTGCTCGAAGTTATCGGAAATGTCTTCCTTGGTGATGTCAACACCGAACCATTGGCCACCTTAAAAGAAATAAACAAATAAAATTAATAAATAAATTATTTGAAAACCCAACTTACAAATATATCGATACATTAAATTATTCGTGTAGATACGCTCATCTCTAAACTTTCTTTCAACAGAGCAACAACTTTGAGCACGTTGGCATCGCCGTTGTAAACATGACCGCGCGCAAGACAGAGCAGCAAATATGCAGATGGTGGCAACTGGTGCGAAAGAGCACACACCGGCTAACAATGGGTGCGAAAGAGCACACACTATGTACAACAAATGCCCAACGAAAGAGCTGCCAAGACAGACACGCGCTTATTTCGAGCAGAAAATTCCACATTATAAATCACAAATAAGCAGAAATAAATAAAGCAAAATGTCAACATCGGGACGGAAACGTAAACAGCAACTAAAGCCGCGTCAAGACGTGCACCGTTCGCCGGTGAAGCGGCAAAGTTTAGACGTTAAAACAGAACCGCTGCTAACCAGCGTCTATCCCCTGGCCGACTATGACTGTGTGGACATAAAACCCGACCTGACCGAGCTCCAGCTGCAGCTCGCAGTGGCAAGTCAAAATGAAGTGACAGCAGCAGCCGCAGCAGCAGCAACAGCAGCAGTTGTGCCATCCTTAGGCGATGATGAAAAACCAGAGTTGGAGCAGCAGAGTGATTCAGACGAGGATGGTTATTCGGAAATTAATTTTGGTGCAGAGCACGATGTTTTTTGTGATGGTAAAAATTCTACAAATTACAATAGTTGGATATCACGAAAAGTACTCAAAATTAGTTATTTCTATGGCTGGGCTCCAAATGTGATTTTTTGATAAATAAATTATTATATAAACATATACTTATTTATATACTAATGTATTTATCATCAAATTTCGGATTAAATATTAAATTATTTATGCTGTTAGTGATAAGATAAATGGGGTTATAATTTGAAAATCAAACAGATCGGAGTTGTCAACTTGAAAATTTAATTTTTGCTCAGCTGTTATTTACGAGGACATTTTGAAACATAGGATATAATATATATGTATATAAACATATATATTAATCAGAACTGTTTTATAAGTCTATTTCACTTAATTGAAATATATATATAAGAATGACAATTTACAATAAAATTGTTGTTAATTTTGCAAACATTTATATTAAGAAATTTGTCAAGCTAACTTCGTAAATACAAGCCTAATATT